TTGTTTATATGGAGACGGATGGATTGTTTGAATATGCGTTGTTGTTTGCTTGCAGCTGGAAATTTTGCTTATGAATTTAGTTAGTATTAATGATTTCATGTTTGTGTGAATGAATATTGTTGGGCGGTTGTGTCGTGTCGACGATGTCAACATTATTTTCATCGTTTGCGTATCGCCTTTCGCAGGGTCGTTTCTATGAGCGGGTAGCGGCATCTGGAAGCGCAGATTATTTTGTGTTCGTTAACGATATACTTTATTGGATCGGATGGATTTGCCCTCTGAAAGAAACGGAATCCCTCCCTCTTCCGTCGGTACAAACTGCCCCATCTGGGCAGATCCTTCTCGTAAAGGATAGATGCAGATCCCAACAACTCACTGAAAATTGTGCCGTCTGGTAGCAAAACGGGAGGTGCACCGCATAATATTTTAGAGAAGAAAAACGCGATGATTGTATCTTGTAAGATGAGTGTGACGTTGATTGTATTATCTCTAACGGCTCTATAATATTTCTGTACGGAAGACAAAGTAGCGACAGGTGTACTCGGATAGATTCAAGAGGAAAAACTTGGATTGTCATTTAGAGATCAGCTAAAAACCTGCTGACGCCAAGCCTAACGATAAGTGTCAGTAGTGATTTTATGCGAACCTGAGATCGCGTTCTTTAAATCGCCGTCTTGGCATTTCAAGAATTCCGAAAGCACATACAGCATTTTATATAATTTGGTAATAGGAATCATCTTGGATTACACACATCAATCATTCATAATAAGTAATATTTGTGCAATAAATGGGCTTAGGCTTTACGAGATAGCGCCACGCCAGCTTTCGTTTTAAAAAGCAATGAACAAATCCGTCGTTATGTCGTATCAGCAGCTGTCTTCGTAACGTTATTTTGTGTTCCGTTTATCCGGCATTGGAAAACGATGCAGGTTTTGCATCGAGCATTGTGCATCAGTTTGAGTACGTGGACAATGCTTAATCTTTTGGCTGCCAATAGTCTATGGTTTTAGATTGATTTGATGTGTTTGATTGTTCGGTGGATAATAAAAATTGGTTGAAGTGCTCTGAAAATACATTCGTTACGCATTAATTGTTCATATCGGAACGGTATTGTGAACGTTATTGAAGCTAATTTAAGTAATTAAATTGTAGTAAGGCTGTTGGTGAGAATACTGATGGTGATAGCGATAAAAAGGGACATCAACCAGTCATATTATCACCCGCAAAAATGAAATTAAAAGTTCGAAAGTGTCCAACAGATGATCTGGCAATAACGAATTGTGCTGTGGTTAATGCAAATACTTTCAATGCGACTGGAACCAAGTTAGTTTATTTATTGTTATTTATTATTGCTTAATCATTTTTATGATTATTTACCAACATTAATGTTGCGATATGTTAACATGAAATAATTGAGATGACGAGTTGAATGAGTTGAAAGTGTAACGC